ATCACTGTTATGTTGGTACATGAGTCCTTGAAGACGTTTTCTACATATACACAACTGTTTAAATGTGTATGTGCATACATATATGTGCACATATGTAAACACATATATTCACACCCATAATTGTTTGACAAAAATTGGATTGCACTATGCATACTTTTATACAATCTGCTTAAAAGCATTTTTACAAAAAATTTTATTTATTTATTTATTTATTTAGAGACAGAGTCTCACTCTGTCGCCCTGCTTAGAGTGCAGTGGCATCATTGGATTTACACCTTTCTAGACTCTTTAGTGCATACACTATACACACACATTAATGTGTTTATATGATATATACACACATATATTTCAAAAGTATCTTGTTCAGAATATTAGAGAATATTTAATTCTGTATTTACGAGTACTATTTCAAAATATCTTCATGGTACACGGTGATGTACTTACTAGGTGGCACAACAGCAAAGACACAGATTTAAAGCCAGACTGGTAGGGTTCAAATCCCAGCTCTGCTATGAGACCTTGGCCCAGTTTCTAATATTCTTATACTGGTTTCCCCCATAAAATGGGGATATTAGGTTGGACCATATGGAAGTCCTGAGGCATATGATTCAACCTAACAATAGTACCTATCTTGTATTACTAAGAGAAGGAATATAGCTCAACTTCCAGGCTGGCATCTCCAGAACCCTAAGACCAATGAGTTCTTTCCATTGCATCCCAAGGCCTGATTGCACAAAAGTAGATATGTGACCACAGCAAAACCCGAATGCATACTATAGTATCTGTCATGGCTAAAATTTATCCCAACAATATGAGAAGAACCATCGGGATACTGGGCCATTTGTAGTTCCTGTCTCAAAACACCCCTGTGACTTCAGTAAGAACTTTTAAGTGCCTGTGATGCACAATTTTACATGCCAACTTGGGTAGGCTACAGTGCCCCACCAGTTTAGATGTTGCTGTAAAGGTATTTTTTTTTTAGATGCGATTAACATTTAAATCAGTTGACTTTGAGTAAAGCCGATTACCCTCCATAATGTGGCTGAGCTTTCTTCAATCAGTTGAAGGCCTTAAAGAACAAAGAAGTAGAAGGCATTCTTCTTAAGACTACAGCACAGAAATCCTGCCTAAGTTTCCAGGCTGCTGTCCTGCAGAATTCAGACTCAACATTGCAACATCAACTCTTACCTAAATTTTCAGCCTGCCAGTCTGTCCTACAAGTTTTGAACTTGCCAGCCCCCATAATTGTGTGAGCCAATTCCTTAAAATCAGTTATCTCTCTCCCTGCCATGTAAGGACACAGTGAGAAGTTGGCTGCCTGCAAGCCAGGAAGACAGCTCTCAAAAGAACCCAACCATGCTTGATTTCAGACTTCTCTCCTCCAGAACTGTGAGAAAATAATTTTGTTATGGCAGCCCAAGCTAACACAGAGACCTTATTTGGAAACACTGTCCTTGCACATATAACAGTTAAGTAAGGTACTTAGGGTGGGGCCCTAATCCAATATGACTACTATCCTTATAAAAAGGGGAAATTTGGACACAGAGGCAGTCATGCATAAATGGAAGACGATGGGAAGAGATGCAGGGAGAAGATGGCCATCTACAAGCCAAGGAGAGAGACGTGGAGCAGATCTTTCCCTCACGGCCCTCAGAAGGAACCCACTCTGCAAACACCTCGATCTTGGACTTCCAGCCTCCAAAACTGTGAGACAATAAATTCCTGTTATTTAAGCCATCCAGTTTGTGGTACTTTGTTGCAGCATCCCTAGCAAACTAATCCAATGCCCCTGAAAAACTTTGGGTAGCCTGACTTCCTACTGGGAAATACAGAACTTGTGAGATTCATACATGCTTGGGAAAAGGTAGACACATTGTTTTTATTAACAAATAATATTCTAAGTTGGAGTTCTCTATTTTGACTAAGTTTTGGGAATGAAAATTTGTTATGCTTATAGGATCAAAAGTCATAAATGTACTAGCCATTCTTCTCTGCTATATATATTTGAAGGTTTGGGTATTTATTGTTTATGCAAAATGCTGTAATTTCTCTATTTCACTCCGTATTAAATTTAGGTTGAAACTAACACTTCCATGGAACTTGGTATTTTAGAAGAATATTCAATATGTTCCTTTTTAAAATAATGCCAGATGTCCACATTAATTTAGATATTGGCTGATATAATGTATTATTTTATGACAAGCAATGCAAACTGAACTGCATAGATTAGAAAACTTGAAAATAATCTTATCAAGACCTTTTAGAGTTTATGATATTAAAAAATATTGATTTTATTTTCAGCAACAACCTACTCTGGATTCAAATATTTGATTTTCAGTTACAAAAGAAAACACTTTAAAGACTATGGTAGAAACTAAAGTCAATGCTTTTAATATAATCTCCATGGCAACATGGGAAGGAGCACAGCCCAGTGGGCCAAATGAAAGCCACAAACTCTCAATTTCAGACCCTACCATTAACTCACCACAGAAAGCCACATTTGTATCTTGGCATTTCATCTCTCTTGTAAACAGAGGCACTCTGGCTTTACTCAACAAAAGGGCATTGCCTTAATCCTATGTACCTGATATACTCATTTTACTAAATTAATACTATTACATTTATGTTCTGAAACGATATAAGATTATTCACAAAAACAAACAAACAAACAAAAACAAAACAAAACAAAACAAAAGATTATTCACACTACATTTCTAGGTTGTAGCAGGGAAATAAGTAGCAGTAAGTGGAAAATGTGAATACTGAATAAGTTCCCCAAATTTCATACGATAACACAAAAATGACCTCATTTCAAGGATATACTTTATTTTCATAAAAGAATTACCCAGATAAAAAGTTTATTTTTTAAAATAGGTATTTTGAATTTGATCAGCTATTAACTGAGCATCCTGACCATATTGTTTTATTTACATTTTCCTATTTTAAATAAAGAAATGTCTTCTATAGGAAACTGTATAATAACAATGCATAAGGATTTTAACTGTAGTTTAATGAATTAGTTAAGATTTTTCTATGATGCTATCTTGCTAATATGAAGAAAATTTGTTAAAAACAATAAAAATAATAAAAAAGTCTAAGTTACACAAATAGGTATTAACAATAATATTAATAGTTAACATTTACTTAGTATTTATTACATGTCAGGTACTAACCTGGACTCTTCACACGAAGGATCTCATTTAATTCTCATATGACCTTAGGAAGTAGATATTATTATCCCCATTTTATTGATGAAAAGACTAAGCTCAGGGATATTCAGTAATTTGCCCCAAATCTCCCAGTGCGGGAGTCAGAATCAGGCCTGGGCACTTGACCACTATGTGCTACCGCTTCTCATAGACGTGTCTATTTCATTTGTTAATTTTATTCACGTAGTAACACACTTTGAATCTCAGTTCTTTTTACTCTAATTTAAATGTAATTCCACCAAATTTGGTTATCTGGTCATGTAAGATTACTAGTAGCAAACTGGAAAGGTTCGGAGCAGGGATCCTATAAGCAGAGAACATTAAAAATACAGAAAGTTGAAACAGGAACTGAAAGTTTAGCAAAACAGGATTATCCACAGTAAGAAAAAGATAAACACAGTTTGGGGAGGGAGTGGGTAGAAATATGGAAATGGTGACCACCATTTGTTAAATACCTATCACACGCCAGGTTTTTGCCTTCATCATCTGCTAATCCTTACATGCCCTGCCACGCAGGCTGCTGTATCCCCACTTCATGAAGTTCAGCAGCCTGTCCAAGTTCTCACAACAGAAGAGCCAGGCTTATCAGGTGCAAGGTCCATGCTCTGAAACAATGCACCCACTGCCTATCTTGCATGCGTTAAGAAACGAAGGAAGGAAAGAAAATCTTAGAAAGGTTTCTATAAAAATGATTACACTGGAAATGCTTTTTGGTATTGAAGAGGGCTAATAAGCTTCGGTTATTGGGAAAATTAAAATGAAACAAAATACAGTTGATGGTGGTAAGTGAGGTGTTATAGCACTTTTTTTCAATTTTAAAAGATTCAAATTTTAGGAAATCCTAAATTTAGAAAATCTATAAGCTAAAGCTGTACAAATAGGGGATTTTCATTTGATATCCTATCTTTAAATTGGTATCTTTTTTTTTAAGTACCCACATTGGAGTTTTACTTACCGAACAGTCTTAGCAAATGTAAGGCACTGTGCCAGGAAATAAAGAATGGCATGAGAATGCCACTTGGAAGGGTTAGAAATTCAAAACACAAACGTGTGCACGTGCACACACACAGAGAACTCAGTCATATACTTTCAGTTAGATAGCAATTAAATAGAAGGGCTGGGCTTGTCCCATTATACAATAATTTTTTTTCCTGCATCCCTTATTGCCCAAAGGCTATTTCAAATAGGGAAATAACAGGAAAGCATTTCCACAAAGAACTACTCTAAATAATATATATACAGGCCAGGTGCGGTGGCTCACGCCTGTAATCCTAGCACTCTGGGAGGCTGAGATGGGAGGATTGCCTGAGCTCAGGAGGTCAAGACCAGCCTGAGCAAGAGCAAGACCCTGTCTCTACTAAAAATAGAAAAATTAGCCAGGCACTGTGGTGTGTGCCTATAGTTCCAGCTACTAGGGAGGCTGAGGAAGGAGGATTGCTTGAGCCCAGGAGTTTGAGGTTGTAGTGAGCTGCAATGATGCCACTGCATTCTAGCCAGAGCGACAGAGCGAGACTCTGTCTCAAAAAAAAAAAAAAACACCAAACACACACACACACACACACACACAATAAAACTGTTCTGTATATGACCAAAAAATTAACTAATAAACAGAAGTCTAGTTTTCTTGTGATGCTGAAAATATGCATGTGTTTGATTTAGCTGTATCTCAGGAAGCATATTATGCCGCTTTAGAGCTGCCGACTCTACAATGCTTTCATGCACGGCCTCCCCACTCCCCATGCTGTACCCCTTGCCTGGCGTAAGCCCTGGTGCCCACTTAGACATGATTACCCCTGGTGCAGCCCTGCCATCGGTGTCTCTCTCAAGGGAAAGAGCTTGGGGTAGACGATGGTAAACATGGGCTCGCTGCACCGGTGACAGTGCCCCAGGGGGCAGTGCAGCAGCTCCAGGAGACTTCTGGGTAGTGAGATGGGAGACAGAAAGTTCAGATCTGGAACACAAGAGAAAATCACGCACATAAGTAAAAAATCGAACTAACTTAAACTAGGCTTTTAAAAATATTTTTCTTTGTTATCAAATGAGTTTAATTAGTTAAAAGTACTTCATGTTGAAAATTCTGTTACTTGATAGGCATTGAATAAAAATATAACATTATTTGGGAATGAAAGATGTTTTTTACATTTTTAATACTTAAATTTTTAATACGTTTTAATGTTCAAAGAAAATATAAATCCACTTTTTTAAGAGCAACCAGATGCTGTCCTGAAGTAGAGGCAAGGACAGAATAAGATCAAATATTTTTTAAGAACAAAGATCAAAAAGTCATCAATTTACCCAGAGAAGATTCTGCAAGTTTATGAGAGTCAGGCAATTCAAAAAGGACTCAGATTGAAGACTGAAACTGATTTTCATTAAGTTTTCCCTATATCTATTAGGCATTTAGTATCAATCAAGCGTCAATCAGGGCTAAATCATATTTATTAAAAAGAATGAAACGTGAGAAATCAGAGAATGAAAAATAATAAAACCAAACTTTTCCTTGTCTCACTCCCATGAGCTGTCATTAACAAAAATAGGGAGCTTCCTTCCCAGCTTAGTCTAAGCTATACAAAAGAGACATTTAAAGCAAAACATCCCAATGGCCCAGGCAATCTTGGGCACAAATTTATACTAGGTTTCTACTGATGATAAACATCCAGTAGAGAGAGAAATGGTCATGCTAAGGTAAAATCTAAAAATTATTGACTCATCTTTGGAAAGGAAATACAAATCATCTTCTTATATTTTTATATCTGTCCAGACTTAACCACTCAATAACCACTTAGAAAAATGTAATTTACTCATAGGTGAATAACTATAATTCTT